TATATATATAATAAAGCATTCTAAAAAATGAGTATTTGACAATAGAAAAATTCAAGAAACTTCTTCATCAAAGAAATATTAAAATGAATAGTAATATTTGTATAAGGAATAAAAGTTGTTAACTAATTTGTAAAAAAGGCATAAAAGTTTATGCTTTTATCAGCAAACTTAACAATTTACCAATTTTAGTTACATCTATGAAAAGTACATAGCTAAACTAATACTTGTATACATGAAAAAAAAAAAATATATATATATATTTTTTTTTTTTTTATTTTATTAAGAAAAAAATAATAAATAAAGATATATTATAATGATGACATTTATATGTTTATATCTTTATATTCTAATAGTTGAATTAATTTTGTAATTTTAATATTCTTGTTTTTGTTTGAATGTTTAAACTTGAAAATGTTTTAAAATTTATTTTGTTAATGATAAGAAAAAATCTTAAGAACATATTTTGTGTGTAAGAATTAAAATAAAGGATTCACTTGATTACTGCTTGAGTGTATGTGAAATGGCTTTTTTATTATTAAAATGGTAATATTATGTATATAAATAAATTAACTACTTGATAGATCAAAAATTTATTTCATTAACATGTACATTTTTACTCCAAGCACATGTTATTTTATATTAAAGGAAATATTACTATTGCTTCTGCACAGTTAAAAATAAACTTCAAATATTGTATAATATACAATTATATTAGTAAATATTGATAGTGATTTTAACCAGTTTTTAATAAATGCAGTTATTAAAAATTTGTATAAATATCATAATTCTATTATTTTAATATTTGTAAGTACTTCAATGTATATTTCCATATAAATAATAACATTTTTGTCATGGTTGGGAGTGATGAGATGCATTTTGTTATACATCTATAAGAAAGCTATTTTAACATATACTGTACATTTAAAAAAAAATTACTTTTCAAGGATATAACTATAATTTATCATGAGAATTTCCTGTTAAAAATTATAGATTTTATTATCATAAATTAGCTGAATTCAGATATGTTTATTTCCTATTATTTAAGCAATAAAGTTGTGATTTTTAATGGAAGAAACTTAGAGAATTTATTGTATTTGTCAGCCATACAGTGAAAAAATATAGTAACGTTATAAATCATCATTGATTACATTACAAATTTAAAATGACTATTAATGGAAGATAGATCTAACTCCATTGCATGTTATTCATCTAACTTTATATTTGGTAATATGAATTTGTCTGCCAATATATATGTTGTTGATCTGTCTAATAGTTGAAACATTCTCTTTTTATCAATAGAAAAAATGAAAAATTTTTACAAAGTACAATTTTTGATCCCTATGGAAAATTGGTCTATTGAAATTGTGACTGACAGTTGAAGATTTGAAATAGTTCTTGAATTATTGAAATTCAAAAACTATTTTATTGTAAAAAAAACAATATATTTACATCTTGTTATTGTTGATTCTATGATTAGTTTAAAAAAAGAAAGATTTTGTTTACAAAATAAGAATTACAATATTTTTGAATCTTATTATTATTATTTTTTAAATTTAAAAACTAAGATAATTAATTTAATTTTTCATAGATTATTAATTTTATAAAAACATTTAATTTCATTATTATATTGTTTACAAAAATTTATAATTTATTTGTAAAATTACTAAAAATGTAAAAACGTACATTATGATTACAAAATTAATAATTGTTTTATTGTATTTTTTATTTTTAGATGGCACTGCACTGGTGAATTTGAGCAAACTCTTTCTTATAAAAATGATAAACTTGTGGAATCATCAAGTGGTATTAAAAGTAACCAAATCAATTCTGATTTTCTTTCTTCAGCTATAAAAGAGGTATATTTCTTAAATTTTAAAATAATTATAAATTCAAATATTAAGTAACCTTTTATATGTTGTTCATTTTGTATTATAGATTTAATAATCTTAATTCAAAAATAACTGTTACAGTTTATCACACAATTACACACAACCTTGTACAGTAACAAAAAAAATTTATTAAACTGGAAAGAATATACTAAACTGGAAATTTTTTTTATATTTAAATACATTCAGTGTTTGCATATTTCTGTTCTACTTTTGATAGCATTTGTAAATGTTTGATTTTTGGAACATCAACCTGATGAAGGTCATTAAATATGTCTGAAAAAAGTTTTTTTTTTGTTGTTGTTGTGTAAGGTTGTGTGTAGATGATTCAGTGGTTTATTATTCTTATTTGTTAAGAATATTTTTTATATTTTTGTTGCTGAAAATGCTCTCCTTTAACAATAAAGACAATTAAATTCAAAAAATATTTATATTTGTTGATTTTAATTACCATGATTATAAGCTTAAATTCCTGTTTCATACAGGATTTAAGCTTACAATCTAGAAATAAGGTGCACCTTAAACTCTGCACCAGATTGACTTATGGGAATGTTTGCAAATTCTTAAATATAAGCTATATATTATTTTTATTAATCTATTATTTTTACTTTTAATTGCTTAGAATATTTAATTAGGGGTGATAAAATTTATTTTTATGAATCCTAAATACCTAGTTGTCTGCTTATTCTGACTTTGAGTTATTCAGATTTATTTGTTTTTTTCTTTTAAGTTATTAACTACATATAATTATTTTAACAGTAAAAACAGTATTCTGAAATGCAATTTATCATTAAAAATACTTTCATGAAATTCAAAATCTACTGATATATCTGTATAAGGAGTAGTGTTTCCAGCTGTTCAGAATTTTTCAAACTATGGAATTTCAATTATTTTTTAAAAGTTGTTCTGAAAAATAAATGAGGGGTTGTGTTTTTGTTTTAGCTTGTCCATTTTTTATCTTGAGAAGTTGGCATCCCTAATTATAATTCAAATTAGTTTCATTCCTGCTAGGTTGTGTTTTTTGCAATTCATTTTTCTTTCTTTTTACACTGTGGGCACTAAAAGGACTTGTTTTAATTGTACTCTTTGTGGGGCAGCAGGGTAGTGAGGGACAGGAACTGAGATATCAAGGATAGACTGACTACCCATGAAAAATTTCTGGGATTGCTTACCTAGATTTGATCCTGGTTTTCCAGAATGGTAGACTGACATCTTAATTAATCTGTCTTGGCCATCTAGTTGTCTCATCAAGGAAAGGAAAAAATTGTCATAATCATCAAGGAAAGGAAAAAATGTTCCCAAGTTTGTAGAAAAGAGATTTTCTTTTGCTCATCACTTTTTTCAAGTTTGTGTTTTTCATACTGTTCAGAATGCCAACTGGATGACTGAGGCATCAGTCTACCACTATGAAAGATTTAGGATTGAATCTCGGTGGGTTGAAAAATCCCAGAGATTTTTAGCAGTTGGTCTGACCCATATATGTTGGGCTCTGTCCCTCATTATCCAGTTACTCCATGGTGGGTCTGGCTGAACTAATGATGGGCCTGAAAAAAGGCTCTTTTAATGCCTACAGGATAGAAAGAGAGAGGGAGTCAACTTCATATATCCACAAGTTCACACAGTTCACAAATGTTTATAATAACAAATAAAATTTACATACACTTACAATGTTTACAAGAACTACAAATGACAATGTTTAAGATTTACAAAGTAGATCTTCACACACAAAATAAATTAGAGTCCAAAAGTCAATTAATCCACTACAGGTCCATCGAAAAGGGCACCTTGTGACGTATTCCTCAGCTGGAGTTTGATGTATATTCCTTCAGATGTTCATTACAGCACAGTGAGATGAAACCGTCTTCTTCAGCAAGGTCGTTTGACCAACTAACTTGACTTAGACAAGCTTAGGCAAACAGACAAACTTTGGCATACATCGGTGAAGTCAGACCAACTTAGATCAACTTAGCTCTCCTGCCTAAACCCAATCTTTTTATACGGATTGAAGAAAACGCTGATCGACCAATCAGTGTTTCGTAGCGCTATTGGACATCTGCCGATCGTATGATGATCTCTGTAGTTTTGGATCCATGATCGCTGGCCAATCAGTGATCATGGATTCAAAACTACTGGTCGTTTCTTGATCTGAGTTTCTACAGCATTGACCGTTACTCATTTGAAAAGAAAAAGGGCGGGAAATGTACATCCAGGCAATTCCATTCCGACAGAGGGTAAAAAAAAATGTTCAGAATTTCTTGCTCTAAAAGGTAGCAGCTTTAATACAGAGCCAGTACCAGCCGATATACAGAGCTTTGTATACAAGCACTATCAAAGATTGTTGTTGGTCAAAAAATTATTAAAATTATAATATATACATTAAAAGTCTTTTATTATTATTTTTAATATTTCATCAAAAAATGTAGTCCTAATGTTGACCAGAGAGAATGGTACAGGGAATCTTCATTTAATGAGTATTCATTATCCAAGCCCCCATAGTTACATGGTCAAAAAATTATGGAACAACACTTAAAAATTCCCCTTGCTTACAAGGTTTCCTAGGCAGATGGTAACTTCCTCTTTATCTACATGTGCATTGATACATATCACCGTACACAAGATGCGTTATTGCGCATTTGTCATTTCAGTTTTGGTTCTGGCCGGTTTTTCTCTTCTGTTTTCTGATTTTCTAATTGTATAAATTTATATCTTATTGCTTCTCTACTTAAATATACTATTATTTTTAACATATTCAGTTTTATTTCAGTTTTTGTAAAAGATCTCTTTATTATTGGTGTATTTTTATACTTTCTTTAAAGTTTGTTTTCTAAAATGATTATTATAAAAATAAAAATAAAAATTTGATTATTATATTACTTTAAAGTATGTAATTCTGAATATGTATAGTTTCAATGTATTCGTAATAATAGTTTTTTTCTCGCAGACATATACATTACATGGTGTATATAAGTCTCGTACATTACAAAAATCTCATTTATCAAATAATGTTAAGAAAAGACCAATATCTCTTCTGCTCGAGGTTAAATCTGGAGTTAAGATCAGGAAATCAAAGGTATTTCAGGTATACAAGAGTTTAATAAAAATATTTTTGTTAAAAAGTTCCCTGTAATATCTTCATAAATGTCCACTAAAATGACTCACTGCTAATTGTGTGTAATGGAAAACTTGGTGTGAAAAATTATTGTTTGAAGAAAATAACAATGTGCATGTCATATTTTAAAGTAATATTGTCTTTAATGTTATATATTAATTAATGACTGTTTAAAATTAAATAATAATAATTCAGTAAAACTGCATGATAAATTCAATTAAAAACAGTAGTGTGAATAATCAAATCATTTGATTATTTATGTACAGGGTGTACATAAAAGATCTTTGCAACTTTATGCATTAATAAGAATTTTAAGTCTACCTTCACAAAAGTTCCAGATAGATTTCATTTAAAAAAGATATTCAAAAATGTTCATATATGGCATTCTTGGTCATGAGCATTTCACAATAGGTACTGATTAGCTGGATTAACAGAATTTACTCAGTAGCCATGAGTCCTCAAGTGCATTGAGTCATTTATTGAAACAAAATTTAATATTGTGGCTCTAAATAAGTGTGGAACTCTATATAACACACCACTGTCATCAAGATCTATTTTCATGCTTGGTATGAAAGATTTATGACCACAGTAAGTGTTGAATATAAGAAAGGTTATGAGTGACCTAGAGTATCTGATGAAAATATGGAACAAGAGTGAGAGTCATTTCTTCATAGAAGTCAACATGAACAACAGCTGGAGTTAAATGTGTCTCTCACACTGTTCATAAAGTACTGAGGAGTTGTTCACATATATGTTCTTGCACATTTCAAATCCCATAAGAAATCACTCAAGATGATTGGATTTCTCATAGAGATTTTGCAATTACCATGCTTGATTGTTTGGAAGATATCAACAGTTTTCTTAGAAAAAAGTAACTTTTAGTAAGGCTACTTTTCATTTGTTCAGCAAAGTAAATAAATAAAATGTCAGTGTCTGAAGCTTGGAAAAGCTGCATTTCATTTATTAACACATCAGAGACAGTCTCATAGTATGGAGTGTCACACAAAATGATTGGCCCATTTTTTTTTTTATGAACCAACCATAGATTGCTAACATTTACCTTGACATGTTAGAAAACTTTGCCTATCCTCATTTAAGAGTTACAACCTGATATGTTGTTCTAGCAAGATAGCATTTCACCACATTAAGTATTGATTGCTTGTGAATTTCTAAACATACAATTCCCTAATTGATGGGTTGGCATGGTGGTCCCATAACTTGACCACCAAGGTTATTGAACGTAATTGTGATTTCTTAATGTGTGGTTCTGTGAAGGATCATGTCTACAAATCTTGGGTAGCTGATGTGAAAGATTTGAAGGCAAGAATCATTGCTGTGCTTGTTGATGCGCTATACTATACATAGAAAGAACTGCAATATTGCTTGGACAGTGTATTTGTAACTAAGAGCATGTGTTGAATGTTTGTGATTTCAGTATTCCAGAAAAAGCTTTGAAGTATGCTTTATCTTATTCTGTCTATATCATAATTGTAAGTTGTTTAATAAGTTTCCTATGATCAATTTTAGTTGTAAAGATCTTTTATATATCCTGTATAATTTGGGCTTGTTTTCTGTATGATAGTCATAATGTATTGATTAAAAAACAACTATGATTATTGTTGTATTATTTGTTATCACATTATTCATCATCTTTATAATTATTTGTAGATTAGTAAGTCTGATCATTTTAACATTTTATGCTAGTTTTTAAATTATATATAAATTAAGGAACAAAACAGCCAAAGAAAATTTTCAGGTATTATTATAAGAATAAATTATTTTTATGTAACTTATGTCGGATAAATATACAGTAGCTGCTGATCATCATCATCATCATCATAAATAAATTAGAGATTTCTGAATATATAACTGTTTGCTAGTTTTAAATAAAAAGAAAGGATTAATTTAGATATACCTTTTTTAGACATTACTTAATAAAATTTCAAATAATTTCTTACATTATTAAATTATAAAATTACATTAATATTATTCAAAATAATTTTATTTCTTATTTGTTGCATTTAAACTATAATGCAATCTATGGATATATTCTTGAGACATAATCTTGCAAAAGAATGAAAAGCTTTGAAGTCAGTTAAACTAAGGTTGAGTTAGTCAGATGGTTTAATCTGCAAGTCATTTTGTAGTCCTGTGACAGTGAGTATTTGTTAAAAAAATTCCAATTTGGGAGTTTTTAACAAATATTATATCTTAAGGTTTTCTAGGTTTTCTGACAATATAACTGGAAAGGATATTTCCAATTACTATTTGAAGAAAAATATCAAATTATATTCTACTTGCATAGTAATAACAAAAATGTGATATTTTTATAGTATGTGAAAAATTTTAAATGTTTAATTCTTAAGTAAATAGGTTAGTAATACATATTCTCTGATACTTTTATATCAAAGAATACATTGTTTGTACATATAAGTTTCATACTACTATAGAATGATTCATAATAATTGCACTCTTCACGGTTGGTCAGCTAAATTGCTTTAAAATGCAATTTTAAAGCAATTTAACTGATGGTTTATCTGGAAGACCATATCATTCTTCAAAAATCATCTGAATGATACTTTTTGTTATATTAATGATAATTTGACAAGCATTTTTTTATAACTAATCACAGGCTTGATAAATGTTTTGCAAGTAGAATTGCATGAGTAATTTCCTAAATATGGAGAACATTAAATCTAACTGTGATATACAAGTATATTTTTTCTACACCTTGGTACTTGTAAATATTAAATCTTCTAAAAAGTTATTTATATAAGATATTTACAATGTATTGCATATATTAGAGGTATAAATAATCTACATATAATTTCTATAAGTAATATAATTTCTCAGTTTTAATTTGTTTAATGTTTTATGATTTTAATTTGAATGAATACTTTCTTCTAGTTTATTAGCCTGTTGATGACTGAAATCAACTGGAATTATTTTTTACAAAATAAATTTTGCTGGAATAAGAAAGGAATTTTATTGACTAATGTATTAAATAGTAAATTAATTTATTACAAATGAGTAATTTCAAGAAAGATGCATTGCTAATAAAGAAATGGCTGATGTTTGAGTTCTTAATTGCTTAACTTCTCAAAATTTTCATCGTTATGGAAAATAAACTACCAAATTTGATTAGATCAGGTTTTGATAAAATTTATCATCAGTTCTGTTGTTATGAAAAGACATTCTAATTAAATAAATTCATTTTGACTATAGTAATTTTAAAAAAATATATAATATGGATTTTAATTGCTATTTTATAAGTAATCTTGTTCCAAGCAAAACTTAAACAATATTCCATTGATTATATATGTATTTTCCATCAGAATAATTTTTTGGTATAATTATAAAAAGTTATAAAACTTACCATCATTATAAATAAATAAATTCTAATAAATTGGTCATGAGGTTAGAGAATGATCTGATCTCAAGTTTTTGGGCTAGACCTGATCATCCTTATGAGGATGGATAGGTTCTGATAGAAAACATTTTTTAATAAAAAGTTAGTTTCTTGAAATTAGCAAAATTTATTTATTTAGTCTTTGTATACTATAATATTTGAATATTATATTATTGAATAACTTTTATATTCTTTTAGAATTTTTTTCTTTTCATAAATGCTTGATGATTTGCTTAAAATAGTGGTTCTTAAATTTTTTTTTTTGCACTATGGCCTCCTGACAACAGTTACAACTTGTGGACTGCAGTATAGTTATCACAACCTATAATTTTCAGATTTAATATTTTGTGTATGATAATTTTCGGTTAAAGTTTACCTAGGGAACCCCAATGGCAGTGCTTTGGTTAGGTTAGGTTAGATTAACTATATTTTTAATAGACGTTTTTTTTTATTTATTTATTTATTTATTTTGTTCAAGAACTACCGCGAATCAATAACTAGTGATGTTTGGCACTCGGCAGCCTGCTGACGGCACCCCTCCGGGAGGAGTTTGTCGGCACCACGAACAGTTGGAAGTGCCGCCATTGGAGTTACCTAAGTACTTTGACCTAATTTTCATATATTGAAAGAATTGGTATTTTTATTTAATTTACATAATAGTATACAAAGAAAAGGTTTAAAAAAACTTTAAAAATGATTAAGAAAGAAAATTACTGTATATGGAACTTGTAAAATAACCTAAGCTCTATATTTGATATTTATCTAATGTGATGGATATGCCTGAGTACTACTGTATAATAAATCTGTATCTGGTTTTATATCTGATATTGCAATTTTCAGATTATTTTCTAATGATACTGCTGATAAACAAGATATATACTTATTAGAAAATTCTTGAGAATTCCGTAATCCTGTGTCTGCAGGTGTATAGGAATGCTATCAATAATTCAACAATCCAAAACTACAGTTTAATTATCTTTATTTTGGTTGATTACATATATAACTAGATGCATTTTTGGCCAACTTACTTTTACAGCCCCTCATCAGTAATTTGTATTGAATCAACTGTCACCTTTAAAAAGAACAAAAGTATGCAGACACGATATGAGACATATTTCACTGATGTATACAGCAAATGATACAAACTACTACAATGCATTAGATTATGGATATTTTCTGCTATCAAATAGGCCATTAGTCTTTAAAAGTGAACTACATATTGTGAGAAAGTGTAACCACCTTGTGGCCAACAGATTTACTGTTCTTTGACTTACCCACAATTAAGAGATGATGTCATACCATCTCTTGGTAATTTGTATTCCAACAGGAAAGGAAAGATTTTTTTTTTAATATAAAGTAGTGACGAGAATGCAGATTCACATAGGTAAGTCATTGTGAACAGGATCAAAATATTTAAAGTCATGTCTGATAATGAAGGATATTTATTTTGTTATTTTTATCTAAAACTCTGGCATATTGTGCTAGCAAATTATGGCTCAAGAACAGAATCTAACCTCTTGCCTTAGTCTGTTAACTATATAAATATATATCATCATTTTAGGAATGGTTTTGTTCTCGGCTTCTTGGTGACCATGGTCACCCATTTTANTCATTATCCAGTTACTCCATGGTGGGTCTGGCTGAACTAATGATGGGCCTGAAAAAAGGCTCTTTTAATGCCTACAGGATAGAAAGAGAGAGGGAGTCATATACTGTACATTTAAAAAAAAATTACTTTTCAAGGATATAACTATAATTTATCATGAGAATTTCCTGTTAAAAATTATAGATTTTATTATCATAAATTAGCTGAATTCAGATATGTTTATTTCCTATTATTTAAGCAATAAAGTTGTGATTTTTAATGGAAGAAACTTAGAGAATTTATTGTATTTGTCAGCCATACAGTGAAAAAATATAGTAACGTTATAAATCATCATTGATTACATTACAAATTTAAAATGACTATTAATGGAAGATAGATCTAACTCCATTGCATGTTATTCATCTAACTTTATATTTGGTAATATGAATTTGTCTGCCAATATATATGTTGTTGATCTGTCTAATAGTTGAAACATTCTCTTTTTATCAATAGAAAAAATGAAAAATTTTTACAAAGTACAATTTTTGATCCCTATGGAAAATTGGTCTATTGAAATTGTGACTGACAGTTGAAGATTTGAAATAGTTCTTGAATTATTGAAATTCAAAAACTATTTTATTGTAAAAAAAACAATATATTTACATCTTGTTATTGTTGATTCTATGATTAGTTTAAAAAAAGAAAGATTTTGTTTACAAAATAAGAATTACAATATTTTTGAATCTTATTATTATTATTTTTTAAATTTAAAAACTAAGATAATTAATTTAATTTTTCATAGATTATTAATTTTATAAAAACATTTAATTTCATTATTATATTGTTTACAAAAATTTATAATTTATTTGTAAAATTACTAAAAATGTAAAAACGTACATTATGATTACAAAATTAATAATTGTTTTATTGTATTTTTTATTTTTAGATGGCACTGCACTGGTGAATTTGAGCAAACTCTTTCTTATAAAAATGATAAACTTGTGGAATCATCAAGTGGTATTAAAAGTAACCAAATCAATTCTGATTTTCTTTCTTCAGCTATAAAAGAGGTATATTTCTTAAATTTTAAAATAATTATAAATTCAAATATTAAGTAACCTTTTATATGTTGTTCATTTTGTATTATAGATTTAATAATCTTAATTCAAAAATAACTGTTACAGTTTATCACACAATTACACACAACCTTGTACAGTAACAAAAAAAATTTATTAAACTGGAAAGAATATACTAAACTGGAAATTTTTTTTATATTTAAATACATTCAGTGTTTGCATATTTCTGTTCTACTTTTGATAGCATTTGTAAATGTTTGATTTTTGGAACATCAACCTGATGAAGGTCATTAAATATGTCTGAAAAAAGTTTTTTTTTTTGTTGTTGTTGTGTAAGGTTGTGTGTAGATGATTCAGTGGTTTATTATTCTTATTTGTTAAGAATATTTTTTATATTTTTGTTGCTGAAAATGCTCTCCTTTAACAATAAAGACAATTAAATTCAAAAAATATTTATATTTGTTGATTTTAATTACCATGATTATAAGCTTAAATTCCTGTTTCATACAGGATTTAAGCTTACAATCTAGAAATAAGGTGCACCTTAAACTCTGCACCAGATTGACTTATGGGAATGTTTGCAAATTCTTAAATATAAGCTATATATTATTTTTATTAATCTATTATTTTTACTTTTAATTGCTTAGAATATTTAATTAGGGGTGATAAAATTTATTTTTATGAATCCTAAATACCTAGGAGTCTGCTTATTCTGACTTTGAGTTATTCAGATTTATTTGTTTTTTTCTTTTAAGTTATTAACTACATATAATTATTTTAACAGTAAAAACAGTATTCTGAAATGCAATTTATCATTAAAAATACTTTCATGAAATTCAAAATCTACTGATATATCTGTATAAGGAGTAGTGTTTCCAGCTGTTCAGAATTTTTCAAACTATGGAATTTCAATTATTTTTTAAAAGTTGTTCTGAAAAATAAATGAGGGGTTGTGTTTTTGTTTTAGCTTGTCCATTTTTTATCTTGAGAAGTTGGCATCCCTAATTATAATTCAAATTAGTTTCATTCCTGCTAGGTTGTGTTTTTTGCAATTCATTTTTCTTTCTTTTTACACTGTGGGCACTAAAAGGACTTGTTTTAATTGTACTCTTTGTGGGGCAGCAGGGTAGTGAGGGACAGGAACTGAGATATCAAGGATAGACTGACTACCCATGAAAAATTTCTGGGATTGCTTACCTAGATTTGATCCTGGTTTTCCAGAATGGTAGACTGACATCTTAATTAATCTGTCTTGGCCATCTAGTTGTCTCATCAAGGAAAGGAAAAAATTGTCATAATCATCAAGGAAAGGAAAAAATGTTCCCAAGTTTGTAGAAAAGAGATTTTCTTTTGCTCGTCACTTTTTTCAAGTTTGTGTTTTTCATACTGTTCAGAATGCCAACTGGATGACTGAGGCATCAGTCTACCACTATGAAAGATTTAGGATTGAATCTCGGTGGGTTGAAAAATCCCAGAGATTTTTAGCAGTTGGTCTGACCCATATATGTTGGGCTCTGTCCCTCATTATCCAGTTACTCCATGGTGGGTCTGGCTGAACTAATGATGGGCCTGAAAAAAGGCTCTTTTAATGCCTACAGGATAGAAAGAGAGAGGGAGTCAACTTCATATATCCACAAGTTCACACAGTTCACAAATGTTTATAATAACAAATAAAATTTACATACACTTACAATGTTTACAAGAACTACAAATGACAATGTTTAAGATTTACAAAGTAGATCTTCACACACAAAATAAATTAGAGTCCAAAAGTCAATTAATCCACTACAGGTCCATCGAAAAGGGCACCTTGTGACGTATTCCTCAGCTGGAGTTTGATGTATATTCCTTCAGATGTTCATTACAGCACAGTGAGATGAAACCGTCTTCTTCAGCAAGGTCGTTTGACCAACTAACTTGACTTAGACAAGCTTAGGCAAACAGACAAACTTTGGCATACATCGGTGAAGTCAGACCAACTTAGATCAACTTAGCTCTCCTGCCTAAACCCAATCTTTTTATACGGATTGAAGAAAACGCTGATCGACCAATCAGTGTTTCGTAGCGCTATTGGACATCTGCCGATCGTATGATGATCTCTGTAGTTTTGGATCCATGATCGCTGGCCAATCAGTGATCATGGATTCAAAACTACTGGTCGTTTCTTGATCTGAGTTTCTACAGCATTGACCGTTACTCATTTGAAAAGAAAAAGGGCGGGAAATGTACATCCAGGCAATTCCATTCCGACAGAGGGTAAAAAAAAATGTTCAGAATTTCTTGCTCTAAAAGGTAGCAGCTTTAATACAGAGCCAGTACCAGCCGATATACAGAGCTTTGTATACAAGCACTATCAAAGATTGTTGTTGGTCAAAAAATTATTAAAATTATAATATATACATTAAAAGTCTTTTATTATTATTTTTAATATTTCATCAAAAAATGTAGTCCTAATGTTGACCAGAGAGAATGGTACAGGGAATCTTCATTTAATGAGTATTCATTATCCAAGCCCCCATAGTTACATGGTCAAAAAATTATGGAACAACACTTAAAAATTCCCCTTGCTTACAAGGTTTCCTAGGCAGATGGTAACTTCCTCTTTATCTACATGTGCATTGATACATATCACCGTACACAAGATGCGTTATTGCGCATTTGTCATTTCAGTTTTGGTTCTGGCCGGTTTTTCTCTTCTGTTTTCTGATTTTCTAATTGTATAAATTTATATCTTATTGCTTCTCTACTTAAATATACTATTATTTTTAACATATTCAGTTTTATTTCAGTTTTTGTAAAAGATCTCTTTATTATTGGTGTATTTTTATACTTTCTTTAAAGTTTGTTTTCTAAAATGATTATTATAAAAATAAAAATAAAAATTTGATTATTATATTACTTTAAAGTATGTAATTCTGAATATGTATAGTTTCAATGTATTCGTAATAATAGTTTTTTTCTCGCAGACATATACATTACATGGTGTATATAAGTCTCGTACATTACAAAAATCTCATTTATCAAATAATGTTAAGAAAAGACCAATATCTCTTCTGCTCGAGGTTAAATCTGGAGTTAAGATCAGGAAATCAAAGGTATTTCAGGTATACAAGAGTTTAATAAAAATATTTTTGTTAAAAAGTTCCCTGTAATATCTTCATAAATGTCCACTAAAATGACTCACTGCTAATTGTGTGTAATGGAAAACTTGGTGTGAAAAATTATTGTTTGAAGAAAATAACAATGTGCATGTCATATTTTAAAGTAATATTGTCTTTAATGTTATATATTAATTAATGACTGTTTAAAATTAAATAATAATAATTCAGTAAAACTGCATGATAAATTCAATTAAAAACAGTAGTGTGAATAATCAAATCATTTGATTATTTATGTACAGGGTGTACATAAAAGATCTTTGCAACTTTATGCATTAATAAGAATTTTAAGTCTACCTTCACAAAAGTTCCAGATAGATTTCATTTAAAAAAGATATTCAAAAATGTTCATATATGGCATTCTTGGTCATGAGCATTTCACAATAGGTACTGATTAGCTGGATTAACAGAATTTACTCAGTAGCCATGAGTCCTCAAGTGCATTGAGTCATTTATTGAAACAAAATTTAATATTGTGGCTCTAAATAAGTGTGGAACTCTATATAACACACCACTGTCATCAAGATCTATTTTCATGCTTGGTATGAAAGATTTATGACCACAGTAAGTGTTGAATATAAGAAAGGTTATGAGTGACCTAGAGTATCTGATGAAAATATGGAACAAGAGTGAGAGTCATTTCTTCATAGAAGTCAACATGAACAACAGCTGGAGTTAAATGTGTCTCTCACACTGTTCATAAAGTACTGAGGAGTTGTTCACATATATGTTCTTGCACATTTCAAATCCCATAAGAAATCACTCAAGATGATTGGATTTCTCATAGAGATTTTGCAATTACCATGCTTGATTGTTTGGAAGATATCAACAGTTTTCTTAGAAAAAAGTAACTTTTAGTAAGGCTACTTTTCATTTGTTCAGCAAAGTAAATAAATAAAATGTCAGTGTCTGAAGCTTGGAAAAGCTGCATTTCATTTATTAACACATCAGAGACAGTCCCATAGTATGGAGTGTCACACAAAATGATTGGCCCATTTTTTTTTTTATGAACCAACCATAGATTGCTAACATTTACCTTGACATGTTAGAAAACTTTGCCTATCCTCATTTAAGAGTTACAACCTGATATGTTGTTCTAGCAAGATAGCATTTCACCACATTAAGTATTGATTGCTTGTGAATTTCTAAACATACAATTCCCTAATTGATGGGTTGGCATGGTGGTCCCATAACTTGACCACCAAGGTTATTGAACGTAATTGTGATTTCTTAATGTGTGGTTCTGTGAAGGATCATGTCTACAAATCTTGGGTAGCTGATGTGAAAGATTTGAAGGCAAGAATCATTGCTGTGCTTGTTGATGCGCTATACTATACATAGAAAGAACTGCAATATTGCTTGGACAGTGTATTTGTAACTAAGAGCATGTGTTGAATGTTTGTGATTTCAGTATTCCAGAAAAAGCTTTGAAGTATGCTTTATCTTATTCTGTCTATATCATAATTGTAAGTTGTTTAATAAGTTTCCTATGATCAATTTTAGTTGTAAAGATCTTTTATATATCCTGTATAATTTGGGCTTGTTTTCTGTATGATAGTCATAATGTATTGATTAAAAAACAACTATGATTATTGTTGTATTATTTGTTATCACATTATTCATCATCTTTATAATTATTTGTAGATTAGTAAGTCTGATCATTTTAACATTTTATGCTAGTTTTTAAATTATATATAAATTAAGGAACAAAACAGCCAAAGAAAATTTTCAGGTATTATTATAAGAATAAATTATTTTTATGTAACTTATGTCGGATAAATATACAGTAGCTGCTGATCATCATCATCATCATCATAAATAAATTAGAGATTTCTGAATATATAACTGTTTGCTAGTTTTAAATAAAAAGAAAGGATTAATTTAGATATACCTTTTTTAGACATTACTTAATAAAATTTCAAATAATTTCTTACATTATTAAATTATAAAATTACATTAATATTATTCAAAATAATTTTATTTCTTATTTGTTGCATTTAAACTATAATGCAATCTATGGATATATTCTTGAGACATAATCTTGCAAAAGAATGAAAAGCTTTGAAGTCAGTTAAACTAAGGTTGAGTTAGTCAGATGGTTTAATCTGCAAGTCATTTTGTAGTCCTGTGACAGTGAGTATTTGTTAAAAAAATTCCAATTTGGGAGTTTTTAACAAATATTATATCTTAAGGTTTTCTAGGTTTTCTGACAATATAACTGGAAAGGATATTTCCAATTACTATTTGAAGAAAAATATCAAATTATATTCTACTTGCATAGTAATAACAAAAATGTGATATTTTTATAGTATGTGAAAAATTTTAAATGTTTAATTCTTAAGTAAATAGGTTAGTAATACATATTCTCTGATACTTTTATATCAAAGAATACATTGTTTGTACATATAAGTTTCATACTACTATAGAATGATTCATAATAATTGCACTCTTCACGGTTGGTCAGCTAAATTGCTTTAAAATGCAATTTTAAAGCAATTTAACTGATGGTTTATCTGGAAGACCATATCATTCTTCAAAAATCATCTGAATGATACTTTTTGTTATATTAATGATAATTTGACAAGCATTTTTTTATAACTAATCACAGGCTTGATAAATGTTTTGCAAGTAGAATTGCATGAGTAATTTCCTAAATATGGAGAACATTAAATCTAACTGTGATATACAAGTATATTTTTTCTACACCTTGGTACTTGTAAATATTAAATCTTCTAAAAAGTTATTTATATAAGATATTTACAATGTATTGCATATATTAGAGGTATAAATAATCTACATATAATTTCTATAAGTAATATAATTTCTCAGTTTTAATTTGTTTAATGTTTTATGATTTTAATTTGAATGAATACTTTCTTCTAGTTTATTAGCCTGTTGATGACTGAAATCAACTGGAATTATTTTTTACAAAATAAATTTTGCTGGAATAAGAAAGGAATTTTATTGACTAATGTATTAAATAGTAAATTAATTTATTACAAATGAGTAATTTCAAGAAAGATGCATTGCTAATAAAGAAATGGCTGATGTTTGAGTTCTTAATTGCTTAACTTCTCAAAATTTTCATCGTTATGGAAAATAAACTACCAAATTTGATTAGATCAGGTTTTGATAAAATTTATCATCAGTTCTGTTGTTATGAAAAGACATTCTAATTAAATAAATTCATTTTGACTATAGTAATTTTAAAAAAATATATAATATGGATTTTAATTGCTATTTTATAAGTAATCTTGTTCCAAGCAAAACTTAAACAATATTCCATTGATTATATATGTATTTTCCATCAGAATAATTTTTTGGTATAATTATAAAAAGTTATAAAACTTACCATCATTATAAATAAATAAATTCTAATAAATTGGTCATGAGGTTAGAGAATGATCTGATCTCAAGTTTTTGGGCTAGACCTGATCATCCTTATGAGGATGGATAGGTTCTGATAGAAAACATTTTTTAATAAAAAGTTAGTTTCTTGAAATTAGCAAAATTTATTTATTTAGTCTTTGTATACTATAATATTTGAATATTATATTATTGAATAACTTTTATATTCTTTTAGAATTTTTTTCTTTTCATAAATGCTTGATGATTTGCTTAAAATAGTGGTTCTTAAATTTTTTTTTTTGCACTATGGCCTCCTGACAACAGTTACAACTTGTGGACTGCAGTATAGTTATCACAACCTATAATTTTCAGATTTAATATTTTGTGTATGATAATTTTCGGTTAAAGTTTACCTAGGGAACCCCAATGGCAGTGCTTTGGTTAGGTTAGGTTAGATTAACTATATTTTTAATAGACGTTTTTTTTTATTTATTTATTTATTTATTTTGTTCAAGAACTACCGCGAATCAATAACTAGTGATGTTTGGCACTCGGCAGCCTGCTGACGGCACCCCTCCGGGAGGAGTTTGTCGGCACCACGAACAGTTGGAAGTGCCGCCATTGGAGTTACCTAAGTACTTTGACCTAATTTTCATATATTGAAAGAATTGGTATTTTTATTTAATTTACATAATAGTATACAAAGAAAAGGTTTAAAAAAACTTTAAAAATGATTAAGAAAGAAAATTACTGTATATGGAACTTGTAAAATAACCTAAGCTCTATATTTGATATTTATCTAATGTGATGGATATGCCTGAGTACTACTGTATAATAAATCTGTATCTGGTTTTATATCTGATATTGCAATTTTCAGATTATTTTCTAATGATACTGCTGATAAACAAGATATATACTTATTAGAAAATTCTTGAGAATTCCGTAATCCTGTGTCTGCAGGTGTATAGGAATGCTATCAATAATTCAACAATCCAAAACTACAGTTTAATTATCTTTATTTTGGTTGATTACATATATAACTAGATGCATTTTTGGCCAACTTACTTTTACAGCCCCTCANTTAATTAAAATAAACAAGCAAGCGTGCTACAGCTTCAACCACATCGTCGCTTCCCAGTAGGCGGGATCGTGGTCAAACACTTGCCTGGTTTAATGTAAAAAAACACAAAAAATAGGTATATTTATTTTTTTGAAGAAAATAAAACATAACCGAGAATCAAACATATTTATTAGACAATTTTAAAATATTTAATAGTGAGACATCTTTGTTTTACAGAACTAAGTGCATCAAAATTGATCTCGACTGATGATGTCGCTACACGCAAACAGTTTTCCAAATGAACATCAGTAATTCGATTTCACTTGTGATTTGATGTACTTCATGCGACTAAAAGTTGTTCACACGCATAAGTGTTTCCACATAGCGAAACCATCGACAGAGCATGTTTGTAAAACGCAGGATATTTATCCTTGTCCAAATACGTTTCATAGAACTCTTCCAAACCTTCTTAACTCTTCTAATGTTCATTTGGTGATATGAACAATAAAGTTAACATTTATGTTCATTTGACCTAGCTCCATGGGCCACATGTTGGCCACCCCTGTTCTAAATTATGTGAATTTATAAGAAACTGTATTCAAATAAGCAATTATTTGTTGTGACATCATCACAATGCCAGGCTGCAATTTTTAATCCTATTTTTAATTTAAAGTATATGCTCTTCATATCATATTAGTAGTGTCTTGCCGTGTACATCATACTTTTACTGTTAGTAATAGTCATGCTAGTCATCTAACTCCTTTCAGGAGAAAATTTTTGAATTGAAGTACGTGACTTCCAGTCGAAACTGGAAGATCATATATAGTTAACCAGGGCCTCCTGACCCTAAGCTTTCTATATCTAGTCTTGACTTTCATCTAGCTAACTCTGTTCTCAAAATTAAGGAAGGACAGACAGTTGGACAACAGTGGGAATTTATAGGTCTACAATTTTTTCAAATTGCAGCCTAATGAAAGTTTTTAATATTGCATAAAATAATTTTTTTAAGAAGCTACAAATTTTAGCACTTATAAAATGTTTGAAGCCTTTTTCAAACTCATTTAAATTAATGTTATTTTTTTACATTATGTCTTCTATATTTTCAAATTCTCTTTATTTCAGCATTGAATTAATTTTAGAGAACAAGAAACAGTCTGAGAGAATAAATTAGGAGGATATGAAGAATGGTTTAACTCTGCAAACTCATGTTTTACTAAAATAATCTTTCAATCATTGATGCAGAATTATGCTGTGCAGTGTCATGTAGATGGAATCAGTTCTTTTCATTATCAAAATTTTTAAGCATTTGTTTATTTATTTACTTACATTATGGTTGTCATTTCATTATTAGAAGAGTCATTTGATTATCAGATTCTATTCTATCAACTTATGAACCTTGAATGTTTCTAGTGTTTGAACTGCTTTTAGCTGTCTACAGCATTTGTATTTTCAAGATATAGTTGCTATATAGCTATTGCAAAGTAATTTAAAAACATATGAGTAATAAAGAGCATTTTTATCATAAACTTGTTTTTACCAGTTTTTATATTTTCAATGACAAGTAACATAATACAAAATCTCTAATGCATGAAAACAATGAATGAGTTTATAGAACTGTTAATAATTAAATTAGTTAATGGTTATAGATATATTAAACCTTGTTCACATACACTTTTAAGATGTGTATAACAAACTTAATTTTAAAATTTATCATTTTGTATAATAATTTTTAGGAAGATATTTAAACAGACTCTCTTTCCATATATGTTAATTAATGTACACATACAAACAATAACCGTAACTTAACACCAGCACACTTTAATTCAACTTCGACAAATGCTTCAAACTAATGATAGATTTACTTCAGATCTATAAAGCTTAACCTTCTATTTTGGAATACAGTACCTGCAAATGTTACAAAATTTAATAATAAATTAGAATGTTAAGCTTTATAGACCTGAAGCAGATCTATTACTAGATTGAAACCATTTGTCAAAGTTGATTTAAAGTGTGCTGGTGTTAAATTAAGATTATTGTTATACTTGTATATGAACAATTAATCCAGCTTTTGTGAACAATTGGTAGTCAAATATAATTTTTGTTTTTATTTTTGCTATTAATTATAACAGTTTGTATTATTTGTTTTTTTGTGATGTAAAATATTTCACATTTGAATAAAAATATTTCAGCTATTAAATTGAAATATTTTACATTAAGATGCATATTAAATTGACAAGTAATTGAAAATAAATTTGTTAAGTAAAACTTAATTCTAGAAATTCAATTTTGCATTATTTATAGAAAATTATTTTTTAAATAAAAATGTTTTATAAAAATCTAATTAATGTTTAAGTGTGTTAGATTAATTGAACTATTTAAAATATCAATAATTATAAATAATATTAACCATAAATTAATTATAACATTTTTGTAATAATAGGAAGATGAGATGTTACATACGTCAGCAGAAAACATAAAGGATATAAAAGTTACCACTAGTTCCAGTGGAATATCATCTACAGTCAAGCCAACTTCACATTATTCAGAAAATATTCAGGTTTCTGATACAAAAGATAGTAAACTGTAAGTGGTTGTAGATTTTCATTGATTAGTCCTTGTGCATCAGCCAAATTTTTTTATACTTTATGGTCTTGTTTTATTTTTATTTATAACTTATATTCATTTGAATAAAAAAAAAATATCTCTATTCTCTTATAGAAAACAATTAATTTTACTTACAAATGTGACTGTAAATGTTTTACAAAAATATTTTGAAATTTGACATTATACTCTGATACTCTGATATCTTTTTGTTTTATATGAATTTGATATCTTAACAATAATAAAAACATTCACTTGTTGAAAATATATTTAACATTATAGAATATTTAATACTTTTAGTTACATAATCAAAGAAAATGTTAATTTTGAAAATAAATATATAATATGTACAATAATCATAATTTGTAAACAAAGTAATCTTGCATTATCAATATTATTACTAGGAAGAAAATTTAGATAATTTCCCTGCAATGTGTTGCTGACTACTGGAAATTTCCTTTGAATCCCAGTTAGTCACAGTAAAACAATTATTGATATTGTATCACTCTATAGCATATTAATCCATAATATGATTATCTTTAAAATATAATAATAGTAAATAAAATATAACTGGTCAGAGAATAAATGTTTAGCTGGTACAGGTATGGAGAGAACACTGCTTTATTATAATAGGTAAATTTGTTTTGAAATTATAGAAAACAATCTTATTATTTCTTTCTTTATAAATAATGAAATATGAAATAAATTAAGTTTATTAATACTTTAAATATGAAAAGTTATATAATTACATAACTATATAATTTATAAATTGATAATGCAAAAAGTTTTCAAAATTATCTATTATTATAAAATGTGAATTAAGTAATAACAACACTTCATTATTTATGAGGCTATTGTATGAATAGGCTTATAAATAATGAAGTGTATATAAATATTACTTTTAAAGAACTAAGAAATGATTTTGAAGTATTGGCAGAGAAAATAAATTTGTAATGAAATCTGCAAAGTAGATAAATTTTCTCCTGACTTATAACTTATTTCTTAAATTTTTATATGGAATTTACATTCTAAATTAGTGATTTCTCTGATAATTTTGGAATATGAGTTTGGGATGAGTTATTTTCTATAATAAATTTACACTAATATCAGTTTGACTTTAATTTAAACTTTTTAAAATTATAAGGAAATTTATTTGATTAGCAGATAAAGTAAATGTATTTCATTTCAAAATAATTTGAAATGAAATACATTTGAAAATTTGAAATGAAATAATTTGAAATGAAAATAATTTGAAATGAAATACATTTTAAAAAATAATTTGAAATGAAATACATTTGAAAATAATTTGAAATGAAATACAAGATTGTGCAAGATTGTGCAAATACAAGATTGTGATTAATGCAAAATATATTTAAAATATATTTTGCATTAATAGAGTACTATTAACTGATTGTTTATGATGTAAAATTTATTTTTCAGTGAAGGAACACATAGAGAAGTACAGTTGTCAGAAAATTCTAATGATGCTAGTCATACTGTTAATCAGGAAAGTGAATTAAAGTCTAAAGAAATAAAGAGTGAAGAAAATAAAGAATGGTAATACAAGTTTTGTAATTTTTAAAATTTATATCAAATACGTTTTAAAATGTATTTTGTAATAATGAATCAAAATCAAAAAATAAGCATTAAAATTTTATAAATAAAATATATAATTATATAGAATAAAGTGAAAAACAATCCAGTGAGATTTTCAACAGTTTTATGATGTGATTTGATATGTGATTTTAAACATTATTATAATTAAGATTAAAATATAAATGAATATTTATAACTTTTAATAATGATTTATTAATACATAGAAAAATAATAATGACATTTATTATATTTAATTAGGGGTGATAAATCTAAATTATCTAGTGATGATAAAGTAACAAATCATCCTGAAGAGCATGGAGATGATAAAATGATCAACAAAGTCAATGATGATATATTAGAGAAGAATGAAAATATTTCTAAAGAGAATGAAGTTGTTGAAACTCCTCAACATGCTCATTCAGAAGTAATGCCTTCATTTGATGAATGGAAGAAAATGATGTTAGCAGAACAAGAGAAAGATGGTAATTTATTAGATTATTTCACTAATATTGTATTTTATTAAGTTTAACTATTTGTTTTTCTTTTCGTGAATCACTCGTTCAGGCATTTTAAATTCTCATTTTAATTCTTCATTATTTAATTATTTTGGAACTTTCCTATAGTTATTTGATAATATAGTTAATTGTGTTTTTATATTATTGTCCTTAATAAATGATTTTAATATATTATTAATAAGAAACAAAATTTTTAAATATTTATGTTTCTGTTTTATAAGATTTGCAAATTTCTTAAAATAACAACTACAGTAGAACCTCGATTATCCGCCCCCCGATCAACCGACCCCTCGGTTAACCGACCGTCCTAGTCGGCAAATTTCAAATGTCCGCTAGTGATGTGGCGCTACAATAGCGATGATTATTATTTTAAAAAATTTTTGTTAGCCTTAACATCGATGAAAATTCAACGCAAAATAGGTTAATAGCGATATACTAATATACTAATTACATGGGATATAATAATATACTACACTAATAATGGATTTTTTCATACTTTTCGGTTATCCGACTTTTCAATTATCCGACCAACCCCAGTCCCCAATTAGGGCGGATAATCGAGGTTCTACTGTACCATGTATTTTTCCCACTTACATTAGCCTTCAAAAAACTGCTGTGGAAAATTATTGTTTTGTGCATGCAATCGTGTACAAGTTTTCTTTTATTGTAATTTGATTACATGTGTAACACAGTGATTTTCTGCTTTGGCATCATTTTCAGTGACCTGACATTATCAAAAAAATGACACCATGGAAGTATCTCACAATTACCTTGAGAGGTAGACATGATATTATGGACATTTGTTGGCTGTGCATGACAAAATGACCTGTAGTTTGTAAGTCACTACAACCTTGATTACTTGTTTCTGTAAGATAGCCTGGGATGATATGACCTTCAGTAATTTAAATGTTTTCTTGGGTTCATTTCATGCCTGAAAAATACAGAAAAATCATTTTCTGGTCCTTCTGAGAAACATTGCAGTCATCCTGTCATTTATTTTCAGTTGAACTTGTTTCACATCTGTCCACACTATTTCAAAGTTTGACGGGGTTCCTGTGGAGCCCACTTAAGGCCATTGTTCTATAAACAAAACAATATCTCATAAACTGAACAACATGTGATGTTGTAGCTTGGCATGTACAGAGAAGACATTACAGGATTTTTGAGAATTGTCAAATTTGAAAAATTGCAATTACATGCAGTGTAATTATGTGCGAAAAGCCAGGAAAGTTGATGCCTTATGCATGCAGTCCTATAAAAAAACCTGCAGGTGATCATGGGTTAATCATTCCTGAATTTTATACCTACATTATGACTCCTCCCTCTTTAGAGATATACAAGATATTTTTCTGGGAATAAATTAAAGGTATGAGCAGGTCATGAGAGCACTTTTATTCAGTTTGCTCTTAACTGGTTTCTAGTTTTACTTGTGTAAGAAGAACTAGCATTATCCAATTTTGCACATACAACTACAATCACTAAAAGCCACCATGAAGAGGAGATTAATGTTGTAATAAAATTCAAATTTAATTTTTTGAAGAATTAAAATTAACAAAGTGTGAAATTTTCACAGAGTATTATGGAGTTAGGGATGTGTGTGTGTGTTTAAGGAATGGGAATTTTGCATAGTCAATACCACCATGAATTCTCAAGTGTACCAAGAAATTCTTGAAGCATTTGTAATGTAGTAATCAGAAAACTGAAAGTGACAGATTTGTTTCTCAGCATGATCTCACTTTTTCACATCAGCATCAACACTGCTTGAGTTTATGGCAAAGAAACAACCTAGCCTGCAAATTTCCAATATGCAAATCCATAGATAATTTGTAGAATATTGCAAAGAAGAAACTGAATGAACTGAAATCACAGGCATTGCAGAACCTAAAAGACAAAAAGTATGTCTTGCTTGGAGCCTCATGATGTCTGATGACTGACATCAACTCATAGAACATATGCCTCAAAGAAGAATACATGCTATAATTAATTCCAAGGGAATCGCTACTAAAAACTGACTTTATTCAAATACAACATTGCTTGAAATAAAACAGTTTCCATCTTTTTTGCATTCTTATTCTAATGCAAAATTGCATATTCTATTTTTTTTTTATTTATTAAGGCAGCGCTGTCCAACTTATCATAGCCCGCGGGCCATATTTTCTTCACCAAACATTTCGGGGGCCAAGAAGGTTGATAAACCACATAACATTTGCATAGTGCTACGGTTCAGTAAGCACTAATTGGTCAGCGAGTCCGATGTTGACACTATAAAAAGGCAACAGTTCGACACACCGGATATACGTCACTCTCGTCTAAAAGTTCGACTTGGGAATTTTTTTGTTCAATAATAAATGTGAATTCTTCTTCCTGGAAAAAATAAGACATTCCCTGAAAATAAGACCTAGCGCATTTTTCAGAGCAAAAATTAATATAAGACACTGTCTTATTTTCGGGGAAACACGGTAGTAAAATAATTTTAATATTAATAATAATAATTTAGTAACAAATTTATTCATAGTAAAATGTACTCGCGGGCCGTAAAAATTATTTGGCGGGCCGTATACGGCCCGCGGGCCGCCAGTTGGACAGCGCTGTATTAAGGAATAGTATTATTCTTTTAAAGTGATTTATTTAATTTTTCAAAAGATTAATTTGCATGTTGTTATGTCATTATGTGCCTTTATATGGTGGCTTGTAGTGCAAGTAGTCATATTTTCAGAAATAATTATTTATCTACCATATTTCTGCAGGAAATGCTTGACAACATATAAGTTTTTATAATAATCTAACTTTTTGACCACTATTTGTGTATGTATAAAAAGTTCAGAACTTAGTAAAATTTATGATCCATCAGCTACCACACTAGATATTGAGAAGAACTATTTATGATCCACTTGAAAGCCTACTTAAAACTAAGTAAGCTTTCAAGTGAATTATGAATTCTATTGGTATCTTTTCTCTTTAGAAATTTCATCATTCAGTAGATTGAAAAACATTGAATTAAACATTTCTGAATTTATAAAACAATATTCTATACATATAAAATAAACTAGATATTAGAAATATGATTTGAATTTCACTTGATTTTTCTCATTATGTTTTTAAACCATTTTATATTTTTCTGTTCTGTCTTTATTATTTATAGATTTTTAAGATAAATTTCTTTAGATTTATTAGTCTAAAAATTAATACATTTATAATTAAGTAAATTTTTGATATTTTTTCTGATCTTTCTTTCTATGTCTACATTTAATTTAGATTTCTAGTAAATATTAAAAACATAAACAATAGTATGTTAAAAAGTTGCATATAAATTAATCCAAGCATTAATATAAAATCAAAATAATAAAAAATACTTCTAATTTTTATTTTATTAAAAAATACATATTATTATTTAGAAATCATAAAAAAAATTGACACACACACATATATTTATAATGATACAATTTTTGTAGGTAATAAAATTCAACCATTAGCTTCAGTTAGTGGAAAGAAGATTATTAGTCACAAAAGAAGACACAATTATGCATCGTATGAATGTGGTGCAAAAATTGTTGCCGTTAATACCGAAGCTGAAGGCACTAATCATATATTGAATGAAATGGTAGATGAATATATGCTGAATCCTTGCAAAGTAAAAATCTGGTTTGTTATAGAATTGTGTGAATCAATCCAAGTTTCACAGGTAGGTAAATGTATTTATATATGTGTGTGTTTGTGTGTATTTGCATATTTATGTACATGAATAAATTTGAAAATATGAATTTCAAAATTTTAAATGTATGTATAGATTTTTTTAATTTTTTACAGTTTAAAGTTAAATATATACAGTATAAATAGATTTTGAAATTCAGAATATTTTTAAATATAATTATATTTACATTTTTTTTTATTGTTAACATGTGACAAATATGTAATGTGTCTGATTATATCTGAGAAAGTATTTGATAATGATTTTAATACATATTAGAATTCTGAATTTAAATTTAACAATGACTTATAAAATACTTACAGTTCAAAATAGGGGAAGATCCATTATCTGATATAAATTATAATACCAAATTGCTAAAGTTGTTTTTCAACTTTAGCAATTTGTGACATCATTTAAATATTTCAAATTTATCAACTACTGTAGAATTGATTGGTTTTCAGATGGTTTATGGTTTGAATCGTCAGTCACCATATTTTATAAAATCATTATTTACATTTAGAATTTTAAATCTGTAAAAAATAAAGTTAGTTTTAAAATATATTAAAAGACAGAAGTCTCATTGAATGACTAAAGGATGGTCCATATTTTGTGAGAATGTAAAAGAGAAGAGAAAATACACTAAATGGATTTAGTTTGCAATATTTCATGCATTACTACTGACACCTCTGTTCTTTTTTGGTTAGTAAGAAAAGTGAACAAAAGTACTATTTTTTTTCTTTGTTGATAGTTCACAGTTTTTTGCATTCTTCAACATAGAGATTGATAAAATTAGAATTAGAGTAGAATTATCTTCAGTGAATCATAATTTATCATTTATATACCTTAAGTTAATCAAAACCGAATAGTTATTATCTTTACATATTTACATATTTATTATATTTAAAGCTTATTTAAAATATCAAAAATGCAGGTTGGGATCATCATCCTTAATTTTTTTTATAAGGCTATAATATTTTCTGCTCTCTTTTTTTTAATTAATTAATTGCATGTACGGAAAATATTATAGCCTTATAAAAAATTTAAGGATGATGATCCCAAAGTGTATTTTTGATATTTTTATGATTCAGATTCAATTAATTGCATGTACTTTCATATATTAATATGAAAGTACATGCAATTAATTCCATTGAATCTGAGTCATAAGAACTTTACAACTCAGGTATGCTTTCAAAATATACTTTTGGTTATAGCTAGAGGTATTTAAACTGAAGTTACCAAAAATGTGTGCATTTCTCATTTTTTGTTTTTAAAGTATGAATACTTATGGAATGAGAATTATAGAAAAGAGAAGACATTCTACTGTCTTTTTCTATTTTCACTATGTATGAACAGGCCTTAATGCTTGTAATTAATATATATATATATATATTTTGTGCTCACTTTGGAAACTAATTTTAGAATATATTTGGATATACAGGACTTTATGCAAAGTTTTATTTTTAACTTTTTTGTTTATTATTGTTCTGATTTAGTTTACTTTTGTCTGACCTTTCTTCTGATACTTGCTATTAATAAAATGAAGTGGATGCTAACAGTGAAAGATAATGATTAATAAATAAATAAATACATTTATAATTTAAACAAGAAGACAAAATGTAAAAAAAATTATAGATAACACTTGAGAATTTTATTGAAATTAAGTTTTTCAATTCAAATTTTAGATTTAAATTTTTGAACTTTTCAAATTTCAATAACTATGATATTAATTTTATCCAAATTATTTTATAGATTGAATTAGCAAACTTTGAACTGTTTTCATCATCTCCTAAAGAATTTTCTGTATCTTGGAGTGATCGATTTCCAACACGTGAATGGACTTCTTTAGGCACTATCACTGTTGAAGATCAACGAACTCTGCAAGGTTTTAATTTACAGCATCAAGGATATGGAAAGTTTATTAAGGTAATAACATGCAATTAATATCTGCATCTTAATATAGTTATTTAATCATTTTCAATGTCATTATGTGCCTTTATATGGTGGCTTGTAGTGCAAGTAGTCATATTTTCAGAAATAATTATTTATCTACCATATTTCTGCAGGAAATGCTTGACAACATATAAGTTTTTATAATAATCTAACTTTTTGACCACTATTTGTGTATGTATAAAAAGTTCAGAACTTAGTAAAATTTATGATCCATCAGCTACCNTATTAATATAGATATTTTGTAATTAAAGCAGTGTTTTTCAACCTTTTTCTAATCACAGATCAGTAAAATTATGGATAATTTTATATGGACCAAGTAATTATATGAGAATGTGAATTATGCTTATTTATTATATTTATATACGCTTATCTAGTTACTCTAAATTACTATTTAAATGTCAACTGTAATCAACTGTGCCAGCTTCATTATAGTCAAATATTTTTCTTTGGAGTGGTGAAATTTTTTGCAGACTGTTTGTTGAAAAACACTGCATCAAGCATCTCTGATCATTTCTTTTATTTCTGATATTGCAGTTATGACAATTAGAAGCATGCTGTTTTCATTATTGAATAATTTGTTTTATTTTATTTTAGTCAGTATTTATCAAAATATCACTTCCTATAATTTGAATAAGTAAAATCTTTTACTTATTCAAATTATAATGTTTAAGACAATATGCTTAATTGCCTAGGCCATCTGTAGATTTGTTGTTTCATATTTTTAGTTTAATTCTTTTTTTACTGTAAAAATATGATAAATTTTGAAAAATCTGAAATCTTGTTCTAAAACTATTTCAGTCCTAAAGATGTTCTCATTAATTTATGAAATAGAATTAGGCATGATTCATATCCAAAGAAATTAAATATTTAGTATCTAAATGTTATATAGGGTTTTTTCATTATTAATGACTCCTCTTCTTATGAACTATGAGAGGTTTCCTAGAAGAGAAGAATTTGCCCTGAATATACTTTTATTGCCTATTCTATTATTAGACAGTATGCTGTATTGATTTTTATATATTGATACTTTGAATAATTTTTTGTTTTAATTAAGTGTGGTCAAGAAAAAATAAAATTTTATAATTGCATCAGAATGCTTGAAATTTCTAAATTGATTGATAACATGTGGTAACCATAGGTCAGTTTAACTTACTGCCTTACGTCACTAATAATTGATATTAGTATTCATTATTAGTGATGGTTTATGACTGTATATAACTTGTATTTTTTGTCAAAGTTTCTTTATTTAACTTAATAAAATAGAAATTTTCAAACACAGTGAAGAAATTTTCTGACTTGTTTATCACTCTCCAAAATATTACATCTTCTTTTTTAATGCTATTTAACTTTAGAGTACAGCTATCAAGATTTTGTTTAACATTGTTAAATAAAATTTTGATATCTGTAACTTTCCAGCTTGTGCATTTAATATTAGTCCATCAATTGGAAATCAGACATTTCTTTAAACTTGAAACCATTGTATTAATGCTTCATCCACTTTTTTTATTTTTGACTCTGCCTGGTGGCTCTAAGTAAACTTTTTTAATCATACCCATCTCACTACTTCACCATTCACATTGTGAACCTGGTCAGGTGGTGAGACAGGGTCCAACATATCAAGAACAGCCCACTTGTGAAAATTCCTGAAGTTGCTTGCCTAGATTTGATGCCAAGTCCCCAGAGTAGTAGGCTGATGCTTTAACTGCCTTGGCTAGCCAATCTTCTTGACATTTGAAAATTTTTTTAATATCTAGATGCTTTTTTCCAGTAGTTTAAATAGTCGTGTTTATTCTCTCACAGTGAAGACAAAAAGTTAATTTTTTGCAACTTTTACATTTTTTAATTTATGCTCTAATTCTCAGATAATTTTGATTTTATTTTCATGAATTGAGAGGCAATTTCTTTTGTTAGATGACATGCTTATTGGGAAAGAAGACTGAAAATTGAATGGTAAATGTAAAGATAGTCATAAGTCATAAAACATTTTTAACATAGTTTTTGATAATTCAGTAAACGGTTCACTTAGCTAATACTGGTTTTTCTCACTCTTTATTTACTACACAGGATAAAAGCTTGCTGATATATATTTGAAATAAACTCTATAATACAAATATTTACATGAAAATATGCCTTAACTGAAAACAAAATGAAGATTTGCTTGCAATAACCACAAATTCATAATAACTGTGCTTGTAACAATTGAGTTTGACTGTATTTAGCTTTATTAAGCTTAACAATTTCTAAAGCATAATGAAATATTTTGAAAAAATATGTATTTATAAAACAAAATGTAGGTTATCAAAGATAGTTGATAGTAAATTTTAATTTACTATTTTGTAAATGAAATTCTTATTAATATTAAAGAATGAAAATGAAGTAAATGAAGATAATTGATATAAGATATATCATTATAGAATATCTTATATCTATATTTTATTGATTAAAATATTAAGAATATTCTCTAATATGCATTTCGAGTATAACATCTGAAAACTGTTGAAATAAACACATCAATTTCAAATTTTTTAAAGTTTTTACTCAAATAATGATATGAAGGCATTACTAATTTATTTTGTAATTTTTGGATTACAGTTTGAATTATTAAGTCATTATGGAACAGAGCACTATTGTCCAATTAGTGTGATCAGGGTATTTGGCACATCAATGGTTGATGAATATGAAGAAATGGAAACAGCAGAAATAAGTCATCATATAAGTGAAGATGATGATGATAGATTAGGTAAAATATTGAGATAAATACTAAGATAAATCTATCTAGTTTTTTGAAAAATTATAGTTTTAAATTTATTAAATATACAAAAATATATTATTTAAATCTAGATCTTCCGTTGACGGAAGAGTCAAGTTCTTCTCAAGATTTATTTGGTAGTGCTAGAGATGCAGTTATTAATATTATGAAGAAAGCTGCTGAAGTACTTACTAGAGATCAGGAACAAGAAAGTAAGAAAAATAATAATTAAATTGACCAAAATCAAATTTTATTTGTTCTTATAATTTATAAAATTTTAAAAATTTGTTTAAAATTTTTATGCCATTTGCTTGTTTCAATTTATAAATAATTAAAATTGATTTGAATATAGTCTGTTACATTATTCTTTCCTCTTCGTCTATAGAAATTATATGATTAATTAATTAATAAGTACAGAGTACCTTGATGATATATTAATATAAAACGTTTTCTAAAATCATATTTATTATGGAATTATAATAATAAAAATTTCATTTATTATTTGTAACAGATGACAGTCAAAGATTGGGACAGTTACTTGATACACATTCATCTCTCCAATTAGATTGTGAAAGGTTTGTACATGTAGCTTATATATAAGCAGTAACTAATTTTTAAAATATTAGTGTAATATTGATTCCAAAAATTCTTTTAATATACTTTTATTATTAACAAACTTTTTTTGTGTTGTGAATTGTGTTTAATTTATTCTTATGCTATGTTGAAGAGGATAAATATCAATATTTTTTAGTTTGGTAAAAATAAATAAATTGATTATAAATTTATTGATAGCTTAAATAAAATCCAATCTGTTTTATATTGTACTTTGTCTTTTACTGATAATTAATTCAATATTTTACTATTGAACACGCTTAATGTCACATTCAGAGTTTCTAACAAAAACATATTATCCAGACCATGGTATTTATACAAATTTTACATAATATCAGAAAATTGGTAATATAAATCAAATTTTTTTTATAATAGTATGTACTGTATTTTAATCGTAAAACTATATCTTTATACTTATGTCTTTACAGCCTGAAAAATTATTTTTTTAATGAATTTTGGAACTATTTGTTGAGTTGCAAACATTTGGCATGTTTTTGTTGCATTTTTTAAAATCTTACACTGCGTTTTATGCTCCAACTGGGTAAAACATTGTTTCCTTATCTTTGTAGAATAATTAAATATTTTGGTGTTGTAGCACTTTTAATATTATTATTTTTTTGTCATGACTGTCATTGCTTAGTATCAGGTTAAAAGTATCAGATTTATTTGACACTATAGTGAAAATGATCTCATCTTTGTTTAATGATCCAACACATTCAGAACCTTTATTAATATCCACAAATTTTTTGAAATTAGAGTCATTAAAAGCAGTTTGATATTGTGTTTTCCATTAATCTAATCAACCATTGTTAACCATAAAACTATTAGTTTCAAGGTTCTGAGCAAAGTTTTATATTTTCTCATGTAAAATCTTACCAGTAATTGTAATGTTAGTGGTCATAGGTTTAAAAATTCATCAATACAGTATAATGTCAACATGATCTATCTTACTATAACATTCTTTTTTGATTAGCACTCTTAAAATGCCCATTTTTTGCTGTTTTTCTTTAGATTTGAAGATTTTACATACAGTTGATGGATTAACAGAAAATATTTTTGTGACAGTAGAAAATGTTTGTTGAGGATGATCATCACAAGTGACAGTGCTTCCTAACTTAATTTTTTCACACTTAATTCTGTATGTTTCCCAAATGTTGTAGTCTATTTGATGTGAAGCCACATTAAAAAATTATTTATTTAATTTCAATTTACAGTAATGTTGTTAAAACAATAATTGCCACTCCAAATATAATAAACAATGAAATTAATTCCATTAAAAAATAAATCGATATACTGTATAACAATAATAAGTAGACAAAAATAAATACATTTGATTAAAAAAAATAGATAATGTAAAAGTATAAAATTCAGTGTTATAAAATATTTTTCTATAGTAGGATTTATACATGCAGTATTCTAGATATAACATATTCTTGGTGTTGTTGACAGATTTATAAAAATGGCAGAAAAAGGATTTATTTGAAGTATTAAAATAACAGAAAGGAACATGAAGGCAAAATGATTTACTAGTGTTTACAGATTGGAATTCTTAAGTTAATTTAATGTGAGGAGAACAATCCATTAAAGTATTTATATGAACAAATTGTAATTTGCTTCCATATGCAAATTTTGTCATGTGACATTACATTCCTCTGCACAATTGTTTTTTTTTTTTAAATTTAGTGAAGTGAGCAAATGCAAACACTTTTATATTAATGATTTTCATGATATAAAGTGAAATCTGGGTATTAAATGAAATGATATGTGATTAAATGTATTTTATTTGTATATAAAGTGACAATTAGTTTTTGAATGATTGTGACATTGAGTATTGCTATCAGGTGAGGTGGTAACATAGAGTTCAACTGTAATGGTTAATTGATATTAGTATTTTAATTTCAACTTTTCCAGTTTAAACAAAGATGGACAACTTGGTTTAAATTTGAACATATTATTAACTCATGACTTTTAAATTAAGCTATTATTTTATTGATCTGGTATTATATAAGGAAGTAATTATAATGTATTTATTTATAATTGTCTTGAAAATAAAAGCTTAATTTTTTTGTTTTTTGAAATATTATTGAATACTGAAAATAGAAATAAGATAAAGATATTAAAAAAAAATATATTTCTTAAAGAAGTATTATTACTGTATATTGTTTTATTAATATATTAACCTAAGCATCTCGCATGGCCTGGTCAGCTATAATGAAGATGCTGCAATTAGATAGAATTTTGTTATGGCTAGGTAATGTAATGGCATGTAATATATACTGAATATATTGTTAGATCCAGTGATAATGCAGTATATCTATCTTGTTGACTGGTCACAACACTTATACATGAATGATCTTCCAAATCTTTAGCCAAACTTAAGATTAAACTGTCTGATTATTTTCTGAGTTATACTGTCCAGATTATTAATCTGGAGCAGTAATTTGAATCCCATTCCAGGTGGATCTTTCAGAATTTCCTAAATTAACTAAGTTATTTAAGAAATTAAAGTATTAATTATTGATGATCACTATTTAATTTCTATATAAAATATTTATTTTTAAATAAATTAACCTTTGTACATTTTAATTTTTAGGTTTTTGAACTGTACGACCAATTTGACAGTTACAGATACAATTTCAATGCCTTCTCCTACATCATTTATTCCATATTTGGAATATTGTGAATCTTGTTCTTTTCGTGTGGATAACTATCAGTCACATGTTGATTCAACTTCTTTATGTCAGTTTATTTTCGTTCTTTTTGGACCAGTAGTTTTTGAAAACTTCTGCAAACAACAACAACAAACATTATCGTCAGTTGGCGTATCACAGTTGGAAAGTAGTGTAACATCTACAACTACAGTAACAGAAAAAGATATTTTGGAATCCAAAGCAAAAATGTCATCTACAGACAAATTTGAAAGTAAAGATTATTCACATTCCACCAATTCTGAAATGGATAGCATGGATCTCTGTACACAAACAGAAAAATTATCAACAGATTATGAAAAATTACATGTCCCAGAAACTATGGATGATCTTCAAAAATCTATACAACCAACAAAAACTATTCAGACATCTAGTAAACCACATAAAGAATTGCATACTGAAGAAGCAAAAGTTCATGACAAATCAATTTCTGAAAAGTCAATGAAAGAAGAAAGCAAAAGCAAAAAGCCTCCTCCTAAAACTATTGATGAACAAACACATACAGTAATTAGTACTTCCGAATTACCAGTAGCTAGTGAAGTAATCACTGAAAGTATACAGCCATCTGTTTCAGAAGGAAGCAAATCTGAAACTGTAGATACAGTTATTACCAGTGTACAGAATGATACCGACACATCAACATATCAAGCAGAAACAAAAGATTCTTTAGAATTAGCTACTCCAGTTTTACAACAAATATATGATGGCTCATCTACATCTCAAGATATACAGTTCAGTAAAGATGAAATTGAAAAATATGAAAATGGAGGGTTAAAAACAGAACCTATTTTTGTCGGTATTCCAAGCCCACCCGGCCAAAAAGAATCCGTATTTATGAGAATGGGAAATCGCATCAAAGCTTTAGAATTGAACATGTCATTAAGTAGCCAGTATTTACAAGAACTGAGTCAACGGTATCGACGGCAGATGGAAGATATGCAGAAAGCATTCAATCGTACTATTGGTACACTTAATGATACAGCACGCAAAGCTGCAATTAGAGTAAGTATATAATTAAATTAAACAATAAGCAGTGTTTCAATAAAATGCAATATTTTGAAATTTAAAAATATAATTTAAAATAAAATAAAAGTATGCAGCAGTAATATTATGTTAAAAGATTTATTTATTCAAATAGTTGAGAAAGTATCTTAGTATAAACTGTCTTAGAACACTTTCCACTGGCTTATTTATTACAATTATTGCATGATTTTGATGACTTATTTGACAATTTTTATTTATTCAAAAAGAAAAAACAAAATAGTGTGAAAATGTTTTTAGAATAGCTAATTATTGAACTCATTTTAGCAAATATGTTTCTCTTAAAACATTTTTTCCACTAACTTCTTATATACAGTTATGAATTTAATATTGTGAAAATTAGAATGTAATGAAATATAATGTAGGTTTTTTTTTTGTTGACTCTTGTATAGAATTAAGATATCTTATTCTGAACACATTGACTCCATTTTACATTTTTATTACAATAAAATATGAAACTATGAGCACTTAAGTTTTGACTCTATGGAGGACTTATCACACACTATTGACATTGTTAGAGTAATCACACAGAAGTGGATAGACACTGGTTTTTTTATAAGTTAGCCCTCATAGTTTTATATTGTAACATAAGGACAAAAAGCAAATCACCAATAAAATATTAGTTTCAGTCCAATAGAAAGAAAAACTGTATATTTTATAAATCATTATCGAATAAAATTATTTTTGCAAGTTTTTGTAATGCTGACTCTTCTAATTTTTTTTTCTCATAGTTCTTATGAAACAGCTTTTTTTTTTTTTTTTAAATTTTTCTATTGGAGAACTTGAAATGAAAATGAGCAATTATTTATTGTGACATTGTCACAGTGCTGGGCTGCAATTTTTTTTCCTTCTTTTAATTCTTAAAAAGTCATGCAACTTCTAGTCTAGACTGGAATATATGTAGTTAATCGGAGCCTCTGCCCCTTAAACTTTTCATATTTGGTCTTGATTTTCATCTATCTAACTCCATTTTCAAGATTAACAAAGGACAGATGGACTGATGGATGGACAACAGTGGGAATGTATGCCTGCAATTTTAAAATTGCAGCCCAATTAGTAGTTATTTTTATTTTTTTGTCAAAATGTATTTCTACATTTGTGATGCTCAAAATCATTAGAAAAAGAGATTGATTGGAATTAGGCACATCCATTTAAAAGATGTTTTGATTTAATATCAGATATACTGGAAAATAAATATTTGCTATTATCCTCTTTTTGATGAACTGGTCCTTATCAGCAAATTTTATAAGTACAATAACTTTTATATCTGAGAGTATATACAGTATAAGGGTGGATCAATAAATAACTAGCCACGTTGTTGCTTTTGGCTAGTTATTTATTGATCTATCATTAAATTATTTAATTTATGATTACTCATTTTGATATTGATGATATATTTAGCAATATAAATTCAATAATGATTTCAGATCTATAATTTCATTTTGATATGGTTATTGTACTAAATGAATGATGACTTAAATTTTGTTTTCTTCTTAATTAGAAAAAGTAGTTAAATGACTCAATTTAAAAGTGAAATATGATGATTAAAATGTTGTCAAACTCCTCACTTTTTCCCATCTTGCTCTAAATTTAAGTTAAAATTACACTGAGAAACATTTGATTAAGTTATTCTGCAATAATCTACATATTATTTTATTTAGAAATATAATTATCATTAAATGGATTAAAATACATTAATTCTGTATGTATGTATGTATGTATGTATGTATGTGTGTGTTTGTTTGTTTGACTTATTATATGATGGCTTTTATGTTGAGGTAGTATTTGAACTTGAAAATTTTTACAGGATCTGCATCAACAAGAAGTAATTGGTCAACTTCAAGCCGAAATAACTAATCTTACTAGTGCTGTCGATCTGTTGTTAAGAGAGCGACAATCTGCACATAGACAGGTAAAGAATTTCCATTTATTTATTAAATTATTAGGTTATTTTAAGAAATGAAACTTCTGTTACAAAATTCCATAATGTGTTAATGAAAACAATAATTGGTATCCATAATATAGAGTTTATAAAATATCTTTATTCTTAATTTGAAATTTCATATTTAACAAAAAGATTAAATTAACAGATGTAAATGTAATCATAACATGACTCTCTCATCTCAAAACTATATTTCCATGACACTTTGATTTAAATTATTGTAAAGTAGTGGCAGTACTGTGAGATAATGTTGTTAAAGTATATAAACTTTATATATTTTTGTGAATATCTAATAATACATATACTTCATTCAAGTTTTTTTTATTTATTAAATGGAGTTGTCAATGATGATTGCCTAAAAGTGTCAAGTTGTTCAAGAAATATATGGAGGATATTGCTATATCAATGCAGGATTTGATGCAATAATGATGCTTAAATTGCATTAAATTATGTTGTATGATAATTAAATATGTGTTCTTCATTTATAAAAGAAACATACCAAATGTAGAATTATCCATATAAAATTTAAATATTTCCTTAGCTTGACCAGCAAATACTGAAAAGAGAGAGATACTTTCATGTTCAAATTTATGATGTGCAAAAGTTGATAATGTTTGCAGTGCTCTCTCTCTCTCTCTCTCCCTACAAAAAAGTCTTAAGTGATCAATCTACTTGTTAGACATCTACAACTGTTAACTTACAAATTTCAATTAATGACAACAAGACAATATTTTTTCTATTATCCTTCAGTTGCATACATTGCTATATTATAGTTAATTTTTAAAAATAATAATATTTTTTTATTTTATTTACAATTACTTGAACAGAGGAAGTATTTAGCTTGTTGATTGACCAATTAAAATTAGTTTGGAGAGACAGTGATTTCAAATTACTGTAATCATAACTTCAGCAATATGTCTACATAAACTGTTGACATAATTGATAGTATCCTTATAAGCCCGATTCTTTAAAAAATATATATATATATATATATACACTCACTGCCAAAAGTTAAGCATGGAGCAATAAACTGCGAAAAAATCGACAAATACAGCTGTGATTGACACAAAATGCAGCAGGACAGTAGCAAATATGTTTATGCATGAAACAACACAGAGAGTTACATAGAAAAATGAAAACAATATTGAATTTTCATAAAGTATAAGATGAAATCATATTGGAATCATTAACAAAACGATGTTTAAATCCAAAACAAACAAACAAAACCGACATTAGTAGGGTAAATGGTCACCCCTTATCCTTACACAAAGTTTACAGCGTGTAACCATGCCTACCATGAGGTGATCAATTACTCCAGAGTCAAATAAGTGCCATTCCTCCTGTAGAGCAGTTTGCAACTATGTGAGAGTGGCAGGGGGTGGGAAACATGCACACACAGCACGGCCGAGGGTACCCCAAAGATTCTCAATGGTATTGAGGTCTGGCGAATACGCCGGCCAATCCATACGCGCTATTCCTTCACTCTCGAGGTAGTCGTCGACGAAGGCAGCTCTATGGGGTCGTGCGTTATCATCCATTAAAACAAAAGCAGGACCAACTGCTGCAGCATACAATTTCACAGTGGGTTCGAGGACTTCATCCCAATACCGGACAGCCATCACAGAACCCCCTCGATACATGTGCAGGTCGGTGCGATATCCCAATGAAATGCCTGCCCACACAATAATGCTTCTACCTCGGAATGCGTGATGCTCGATGATGTTCTGGGGTCGATTGCGTGTGCCTTTTTTTCTCCACGCTCTTACACGTTTGTCATCTGGCTCCAGGGGAAATCGCAACTCATCCGTGAACATAACGTTGTCCCAATCAGACACAGTCCAATTCACATGTTGCCGACACCACTTTAATCGTGTGCCTCTGGATTGGACGGATAGTGGAACACAAACTCGTGGTACCTGGGCGTACAGTCCGTTCATGTGTAGCCTTTGGCGCACAGTAGTAGCAGATATCGTTTTACCAATGGCTGCTGCAACCATCGATGTCACACGTGTAGAGGTTGCTCTTCGATTCCGCTTGGCTACAAGAGCAATATAGCGATCTTCTGCAGGGGTCGTAACTCTTGGGTGACCGGCCACAGGTCTTCGGACAACTGTTTGGCTTGTTTGGAATTGTTTTCATAACCGTGAAATGACGGAATGATGAACGCTGAAGAAAAGAGCAACATCTGTGATTGATTGTCCTGTTTCAAGGCATCCCACACACTGCCAGCGCTCACTGTCTGTTATTCGTCTTCTGGAAGTCATAGAAACACGTCAGTCATGCACAGTAATTGTACAACAGTTCTCCACACTTTTTCTCGGCACTTACATGCAACTCCTCTCACACTTCAGAAGGCTGGCTTCTTATACGATTGCCTGTTTTGCATATTTCATGACACGTAACCTTGATTGATAGTAACGTAACATATTTGCATACTTCCACCTACCTCTGCAGTGAATTGCAGCCTGTCAAATGCAGATTGCTTTCCGGACATGAACATTTTCTGCTCCGTGCTTAACTTTTGGCAGTGAGTGTATTTACACTGATTTTTCAGTTAGCCAAATGTTTTATTATGTGTAAAAACATCTTTGGTTTTTTTAGGTCAGCTTCAGTTAATTAATTAAAGAAAGTCTCATAATGAGAACATCAAATGCTATAGAATCAAACAACAGTTTAAATTCAAATTAATACATAAATGTAAATATTGAAATACTACTAAAAATTAATCTAAATAAAACCTAATTACAAAATAAATGAATAAAACTAACCAAAAATAGCTTCAAGTCATACATTAAGATTATAATGATATAATGTGTTTATCTTTTGAGTAATAATCATCAAGGAGTGAAATGGTCATATTAATAAACAGTGATGAGCATGTATAATTAATCAAATTGATTGATTATATGTGTGATAAAAGAGAAGAAATTTCTTGTATCTAACAAATGTGGCCAAAATTTTATCCAATTCAAGTGAACCTTTAACATTAAACATATTTAGATAATATATGAATAAATATCTGCTCTAATAGTCTAATGAGAGGTTAAAGTACCCTTCATTCTAAATTCCATTCTGCTAATGATGTATTTGCAAAATTTTCATTTCTGCTAAGATATGAAAGAAAGCAGTATAAATTTCTGTTTTTACAATTTGGTGCTGAGAACTTTGCAATTAAAAAATTTACTGATCTTACATTGATAAATTATTAAAAAATCTTACAAAAATTAAAAATTTAATGAGTTTATATTCAAAAACTGGAACTTTATTGGTTTTTATATTTTTCCCCATATTTTGTATTTTGCTGCTGATAAAATTCTTTTACAAGTAAACCAAATTAATGAACATAACAACAAAATTAGAACATTCTTATGGTTATAAGAAAGAATTTAATTCAAAATTAAAATAGTTTGTCATCTTCAGGTATATCTTTAGAAAGAACAATTACGGTCAAAAATGTTAATTTTATTAAATTGAATTCCATTGGAAACTTAATTAAGGTTATTGTGTTCATTAAAATTGTCTTATTTAAGAAGAGAGATTTTTAGTAAAGATGTGAAACAATTTTATTCATAATGAATATAGTCATATTAACTGCAGATATCTTTGCCTATATAAATTAACTGGTTTTTAATGTTGTCTGAGCCACTAAAAATTTTCAAACAAATTTTTTTTTTAAATTACATAATTCTTTAAAATATCCCAAAATAACTTTTTCATTATAATGACAATGGTATTTTCTATTTTCAAAAAAATTGATATTTGTCAGAAGATATTACAAAAGTCATAAAAATGTGATCTTTGAATATTGTTTATTGGAAATGAATGTCCATTATTTGGATTAAAAATACATAAAACAGAATACAGTAAATTTTTTATTGTATTTTATTAAATCAAATAATGAATAACTATAAATTTCAGAAATTTAATAAAAGTTTGTGTAATATTAAAATTATTTTCATTCTCTATTTCATTTTCAAATAATATATAAAATTGAAAATTTCTGTAATACTTTTTAGTATTACAGAAATTTTCAATATTGTATATATTTCAACATATATATCAGGTGTGGCCAAACTTTTATCCCTTAGGGGCTACTTTTTTGGTAAAATATAGTCTGTGGGCGACTATGAGTATGGGCAAACAATTTTAGGATTTTTATATGTGCATGCGTTAACATTCATTTGCATTGTTCATCGGATAAATACAAACAATATGGGTACGTTGCACAGACAGTCTATTATTGTAAGAATAAATTATTGTATTAAGATTTTTAAACATTAATTTAAGTGAAAGCAAATTGTTCAACTTTAGTTTCGTGGGCTACTTTCAAAACCTTTGCGTTTGACCGGTTGACCACGGTCTACGTGTTGGCCATCCCTGATATATATCATAATTCTATCAATAGACTTTATGAATATCTTCACTGAAAATATAAAATAATAATAATAATAATAAAATCATTTTTTAGAATTTAATTAATCTGTTATTTTCTAGATGCTGGAAATGCACATTTGTTTAATGATTATCGAAGCAATTATCATGGTTACAGTTTTATCTCTCTGCGTGCGAAGACTTACTCAGTCCATAAATCAGATTCCGCCTGATTTACATCCATCAGAATATGTTTCACGCAAACTAAGTTCTTCGCCTCATCGAGGAAGAAAACGTAGTGCAAATGATACTCAGTCATCTGGTATGATTTTTTTTAAAGTGTACTTTTACTGAAAATTATTCTAATATCTTTATTTTTATATAAAACATTTGCTATTTTAAATATTCAGTTAAAGTTACAATGAGATACACTTCTATTGGCCGTTTATACTTAATTTGTTAGTAAATGAATTTTATATTTAAAAAATTACTATCAAATATTGGAGATATTTTTAATATATAATGAATTAGTTTTTCAGACAAATTAATAAAATTTTAATTTTTTTTTAAACATTTAAAGAATTTTTGCAATATCAATATTAATAAAAGTATATTTCCTAATGTATTGAATAAACTAGAAATTCTTATTATATAACTGTTATTAATGTCATTTAAATCACATAAAATTTATACAGTACAGTACCTGTTTAAAATATTGCTTTATATAGAAGTATGTGCATTAAACATTTGCAACATATTTCAATATCAATCCATTTACTCCAAAGATATTGCAAGTTTAACAATTTATGGATAAAGTAATTAGAGTTAGCCAGAGGTGCATTATCCTATAGGCAAAAAGGGCAATTGCCTGGAGTTCCCATAAACAGGCAGCCTCAAACAAGTCTTTTATAAACTTGTTATTGTAGTAAGAGTATTGAAATTTAAATTTGGGCTATATATGAAGACCTTAGATTACCAGTGTGGCACAGGTGCGGTGTGCACTAACACAGTGCAGAAGTTGAGTTAAAAAACGAATGAGGATACCAGGAGAAAATCCTCTGAAGAAAAATGTTTGAACACTATTAATGGGTTCTCATAATTCAAATTTGCCTGGGTTGCATGAAGCTATAATGCACTACTTGAAGTAGTCAAATTTTCAATAAATATTTTCTAGTACCTGTCTTAATTCCGTTGACAGAATTTCACTTGCACATAGCTAAATAGTTTTTGATAAATTTATATCACATGTTTTATTTTAATTCATATTTAAGGTGTAATTACATAATTATTATCTTTATAAAAATTATAACTGTTCTGTTACTTTGTAATTATAAAATATAGTTTACTTTATGAATTTTTCAGTTTTTTTTTTAATTTAAAAATTAGTTTTATCCTTAACATTCATGACTAATTTCACCTTAAAAACATTTTTTTAAAATTAAGGTTGTCTGCCATTATTATATTTTATCAATTAACATTATTATAAATATGTATTTCCATGAAATTTATTTAATATATTTTAATAATTTCTATTAAGTTTTTTTTTATATTTAAATTTTTTAAATAAACTTAACACAAAACTTAATCCACTGTTAAAGTAAATAGTTAATAACTGTCTATATTAATTTCTTACATTGTGAATAGTACATGATGAGACTCAAAAAGCCATCAATAAATACTTTCTAAAATGAAATTATTCAGTAATAATTTAAAAAGATTTTTTTCTGGTATCCTTAAGTAAATTTAGAATCAAACAGTTTGCCACGTATAGTCTTTTATTATTATTTAATTTATTAAACAAAAAACAAATTATTCAATAAATATTATAAATATAAAATTATACTTTTCCAATATACCATGTTTATTCAAATAATCTGCACACCTCATTTTTTAAGATACTAGTTATAAAAAAAGGAAAAAAGACTTTAATTTATTACATATCTAACAAATTTTACTAATTTATAGTTGTAACACAATAGTAACCTTACTCTTGCCATTTTTTAGCATTTGAAATGTAGTGTTTTTGTTTACAAGTCCATGTGGTATTAATAAATAAAAATAGAGGGGAAAAATGTGATGCTGGTGTGAGTGGTGTCATTATAGATCTCTAGTGGCAAAAATTGTAACTATCTTTGAAACTATGACTATTGTTTTCCATGCCAAGATAAATGTGCTTACAAAATTTTATTGATCATTCTCTAACAGTTTTAAGATAAATACACAGTGTCTATAATTAATCACACAAAAACATTTAATAATGTTTCTCGTAACTATCGACTGTAGACATTCATTATTATTAAGCAGTCATTCAGTTGATAAGCAAAATAAGCACCCTGGACTTAGTGGGTTGTGCCACCGAATTTTGTCACAAGTTTTTGTAAAAAGTGTGCAGATTATTTGAGTAAATACAGTATTAATAAATTGACACTTATAAATTTATAAAAGTGGTAAATTTCTGTATAAAGTGGTATGTTATATTTAAAAATAAAAATACAAATACCCTTCTTAGTAAAGAAGTAAGCTACTTTAACATTTTTGAAATACATATTAAACAACAATAATTATTTATAAGAATTTTGTTTTTTTTTTTCTTGATAAAATAGACTGATTGCTTATTGCTTGAGCAGGATTGGAAAGTATGTATTTAAAGTGTGATAGTATTTGTTATGCATAACAAATACTATATCACATAGTTTCTTAAAATTTGTTATTTGAAATGTAAGTGTAGTTAATATAATTAATTTCCTGTTATATTTTGCTTAGAGAACATCTTTCTTTAGTGTCCAGCAGTAATCTAGTATATTTTCATTCCATTTACCCTGTACTGTTTTTTCATAGAGAAATGTCCCAATGCAACTTCAGTATCATCAATGACATGGAAGTTCTTAGGTAACAAGTCTAAATGGGAGTTTAAAAATGTATTTTAGACTACTATTTAGGAAAATATTTTGATTTTTACTACTTCGGATTGTATACTGTTTCATAGTAGAATCCTTCCATATAATTTTCTAATACTTTGAAAAATTGCCATACATGAGTTTTTTTCCTCTAGTCAGCTAATTTTCAAATTGTTTGTCATATAGATAAATAAGTGATTCTTGTTTTGGTCACTGAACATTGTTGTTTTTTTTTTTTTGAATGATAGAAAAAAGTCACCATTATTTATGTTTCCAAGTTGTGAACAGAGTAAAATAACAATTACTTTGAAATTGATACAAATATAGGATTACTTTTTGTAATGAATACTGTTGAGAGGACATTCATATTACTAGCATGAGCCGAAGCTTTCCACAGATGGGTATTTATTTCCATTATGAGGAAGCTAGCTAATTTTTATGTGATATTGATGTTTAAGGAATTTCAAAAGAGAATGAACCTTATTACAATATGCCAGACCATTTTCCGATGATACTGCTGATTGCTAAAATATATTTTAGTGCCTTAGCAAAGTAAACTCCACCATTCAAATCAATGCTAAAATTTTTGCTTGCTTTTTTGACAAATTTGAATCATGAACAAGGTAATTTAAATTTTGTTGGTTATTAAATGAAGTTTCCAAGGATGATCCATTTGTTTCAAATGTCAGGTCCTTATCAAATTGTTACTTTTCCTATCCCAAATGAATGTTATTGGCATCATCTGTAGTTATATTTTCTGGTAGTTTCAGTGTGGGATTGATCTTATTGTTGGTGATAAATTTAAATGTTTCATCATGTATTTAGACTTAGAAATAATAAGTCTGATATATAAGAAGTTCAGGTATTTCTGCTTAATAGTATTTNTGCTTGTTGCTGGATTATCCTGACAGGTTACGTGATCTTCATTAATAATGTTAAGTGTTTCTGTCTGTTGGATGTATTTGAACAGCAACCTATTGTTTGATAAGTTCAAGTGTTGTTTGTGGAACAAGGTTGTTGTATATAATTGTTCTTTTTTGATCGACAACCCTTTGTTCGGTGACAGTGAGGTGAGGATATTGTTGTGTGAATCTATGGTGTAGTTGTTGTCTGTATGCTGTCATGTTTGTTTCGAGTCTTGTGATTGCATAATAAGTACGGATGATAAACTCGTTCATTTCTGTTGTCCATTTCATCCATTGGCGTGGTTTTCCAGCCTTTGTGGTCTGTGGATGCATTGCCACATAAACACCAAGGCTAGGTTGATTCCTCACATATGTTGAGGGCATTGCAGTAGCCACCGGTAACCAAGGGAGACTGCGGCCTATTTTTCGAACGTGAGCCTCTGCCTAACCCACGAACGCAAACCTTATTAACCTGGGCAATGTCTGAGCCGGCATCACACTTTGATCTGGTTACTACCATAATAATTATCTCCACAGAATGTGGGTGTGGTCACTCTTAGCTTCATTTCTCCCCATAGACCTTACTGGCATGGGTGTCCCTACCAGGAGCTTGTGCTCCAGCCTGCATTGCTCTATGGTTCAGTAAAATTACTGGGCTCTTCCACCACGACCAGGTGGTGACCACGGGAGAGTTATTATTATCAAACACTACTGAAACTTAAACTTATACTAACTACATAATTGTTTCAAATTACTGTATATTATCTACTAATTTAAGAACAATATTAGGTTGGATTGTTTAATAAATATTTAGAATAAAAAAAACTAAATACAGTAGAGCGTCGTTTATCCAAATCAATTGGGACTGGGATTGTTTGGTAAATCGATATTTCGGATAACCGATTATGTACAAAAATATATATTAACCTATCTCGTGTTGCTTTGCGTTGAATTTTCGTCGATGTTAAGCCTAACGAAGACTATTGTATCGTTAAAAATTATTTTTCTATTTTGTACAAACAAAATAAATATATTGAAAAATATAAAAACAATAAAAAATTATACTTCAGAAGNTCAATCCATTTACTCCAAAGATATTGCAAGTTTAACAATTTATGGATAAAGTAATTAGAGTTAGCCAGAGGTGCATTATCCTATAGGCAAAAAGGGCAATTGCCTGGAGTTCCCATAAACAGGCAGCCTCAAACAAGTCTTTTATAAACTTGTTATTGTAGTAAGAGTATTGAAATTTAAATTTGGGCTATATATGAAGACCTTAGATTACCAGTGTGGCACAGGTGCGGTGTGCACTAACACAGTGCAGAAGTTGAGTTAAAAAACGAATGAGGATACCAGGAGAAAATCCTCTGAAGAAAAATGTTTGAACACTATTAATGGGTTCTCATAATTCAAATTTGCCTGGGTTGCATGAAGCTATAATGCACTACTTGAAGTAGTCAAATTTTCAATAAATATTTTCTAGTACCTGTCTTAATTCCGTTGACAGAATTTCACTTGCA